CGCTATTCCAGTGTTAACACTATTGGGGAAGGGGAGGGGGGGATTTGCCAGATAAATACACTTGGTCTCTCTCTATACAGACAGGTGAGCACATGGGGAGGGGGGGGGACACGGATGGACAGATCCACGCACTATATATGGGGGGAGGGCCGCTCGGAAGGTCCCTCCTGGGGGGGCGGAAGAGAAGAGACGGAGGGAGGGGGGGTATTTACACTGCCCAGGCTCCCCCTGCCCGTCCTTCCCCCCCCACCCCCTCCCACACACACACCAGGACCCCCTCCTGCTCTCATCGGTGCGCCAAAGGACCGTTCACTGGCCGGAGTGGGGGGGGGAGAGAGAGCGAGGAAGGGGACCCTGACCCCCCCCCTCACTGCTTCTTCTCCCGGGTGGTGATGGTGACCAGCTGCTTGGCGGCCTTGGCGATGTCGTAAGCGCACTGGATGACCTGCTGGGTCAGGAGCTGGTAGTCCACCGGCGCCCCGGGTTCGAGGGGTACCGTCTTGCGGCATTCGCTCTGCAGCCGGTAGGCGCTGGCGTTGAGGAGGCGCAGGGAGCTGCGCACCGTCTCCAGGGCCGGTTTCTGCGGAGGGAAAAGAAGGCCGAGGGGTAGAATCGCAGACTGGCAGGCGGCTGCTTTGCCAAGCATCGCAGGATCGGCGTTAGGAAGCTCCTGAGATGGGTCCCCAACACCCCCGGGCCACAGACCGGTACCGGTCCACAGCAGGCCAGCAACCGGGCCGCACAAACACGCAAAGCGACACCTGGTGCCCCAAAGGTCGGGGACTTCTGTCCTAAGAGATCATTTACTCCAGGGATCCCCAACCCCCGGGCCACAGACCGGTACCGACCCACAGCTTGCCAGCAAACGGGCCGCACAAACACGTAACGCGACCCCTGGTGCCCCAAAGGTTGGGGACCTCTGTCCTAAGAGATCATCTACTCCAGGGGTCCCCAACCACCACCACCCCCCGGGCCACAGACTGGTACCGGTCCACAGCAGGCCAGCAACCGGGTTGCACAAACACACAAAGCAACACCTGGTGCCCCAAAGTTTGGGGACCTCGGTCCTAAGAGAGCATCTACTCCAGGGGTCCCCAACACCCCAAGCCACAGATCGGTACCGGTCCACAGCAGGCCAGCAACCGGGCCGCACAAACACAAAGGTTGGGGACCTCGTCCTAAGAGATCATTTACTCCAGGGGTCCCCAACACCCCCGGGCCACAGACCAGTCCCGGTCCACAGCAGGCCAGCAACCGGGCCACACAAATACGTAAAGGGACACCTGGTGCCCCTAAGGTTGGGGACCTCTGTCCTAAGAGAGCATCTACTCCAGGGGTCCCCAACCCCCGGGCCACAGACCGGTACCGGTCCACAGCAGGTCAGCAATTGAGCCGCACAAACACAAAGGTTGGGGACCTCGTCCTAAGAGATCATTTACTCCAGGGGTCCCCAACCCCCCCCGGGCCACAGACCGGTACCGGTCCACAGCAGGCCAGCAATTGTGCTGCACAAACACAAAGGTTGGGGACCTCGTCCTAAGAGATCATTTACTCCAGGGGTCCCCAACCCCCCCGGGCCACAGACCGGTACCGGTCCACAGCAGGCCAGCAACCGTGCCGCACAAACATGCAAAGTGACACCTGGTGCCCCAAAGGTTGGGGACCTCTGTCCTAAGAGATCATCTACTCCAGGGGTCCCCAACCCCCCTCCTGGCCACAGACCGGTACCGGTCCACAGCAGGCCAGCAACCGGGCCGCACAAACGCGCAAAGCGACACCCGCGAGATGCAGGCAGCACACAAAACCACGCACCCTCCGGTCCGCGGAAAAACCTCTCTCCACGGAACCGGTCCCTGGTGCCCCAAAGGTTGGGGACCTCTGTCCTAAGAGATCATCTAGTCCACCCCCTACTTGCTGCAGGATTCCCTGCAGGCGATCCTCGGCTTACCGCCACAACTGAGCTTGAAGCTGCTAAGGCAAGCGCGAGGCTGCGAAGCGAGCGAGTTTCGCTCAATTTTACGACCGTGCGCAGCCTGCCCAGGATCACGGGATCCGGATCCTGACGCTTGACAACTGACTCTGCAAAACTCGTTGGGTCGGTTATTTTAGGCCAGGGTCCCGTGCAAGTGTTGCGGCATGGGGTGGGTGGGCTAGGGGTGGGGGCTGCTGGAGCCAGTTCCAATTCTCCTAACTCGAAGCCCCCCCTACGATTCTGTACGGCGTCTTCCCTTCTCCCCTGCCGCCCCAAATTCTCCATCTGGTCCCCCCCCCATCCTTTCCTGCAGGGGTCTCCCAAGTTGGCCATTTGACAACTGGTGGACTTCAACTCCCAGAATCCCTCAGCCAGCATGCTGGGAGTTGAAGTCCACAAGTCTTCGAAGTCGGGCTCAACCTCCTTCCATCAGAGGTGTCCAACCTGGGCTGCTTTTAAGACCTGTGGACTTCAATTCCCAGAATTCCCCAGCCAGCCCTGCTGGCTGGGGGATTCTGGGAGTTGAAGTCCACAGGTTGTAAAGCGAGGAGGGGAGCTAGCTAGGAAGGGGAGACCCCGGAGAAGGAATCTAGTAACAGAACGTCACCCATACACACACACACCCCCGCCGGAATGCAAGGGGGTGGGCTACGACCCCTTGCCCCCTTACCTTGGGGAAGAGCGAGGCCATTTCCGTCACCGCCGTGTGGATTTTCTCCGAACAGGGGACGAAGCTGCTGGGGAGGAAGAGGGACAGAGTAAGATCCACAGTCGGGGGGGGGGAGGCGGTCCAAGGTCCTACATGGCGAGGGGACCCCAATCGTTGAGGAAAATGAGGGTTCGGCATCAAATACGGCCTTCCACTCCCAGAATTCCCTAGCCAGGATGCTTTAAGAGGGGTGGGCTTCCACTCCCAGAATCCCCCACCCAGCCATGCTTTAAGAGGGGTGGGCTTCCACTCCCAGAATCCCCCAGCCAGGATGCTTTAAGAGGGGTGGGCTTCCACTCCCAGAATCCCCCACCCAGCCATGCTTTAAGAGGGGTGGGCTTCCACTCCCAGAATCCCCCAGCCAGGATGCTTTAAGAGGGGTGGGCTTCCATTCCCAGAATTCCCCAGCCAGCCTGATTTAAGAGGGGTGGGCTTCTACTCCCAGAATTCCCCAGCCAGCCTGCTTTAAGAGGGGTGGACTTCCATTCCCAGAATCCCCCAGGCAGGATGCTTTAAGAGGGGTGGGCTTCCATTCCCAGAATCCCCCAGCCAGCCTGCTTTAAGAGGGGTGGGCTTCCACTCCCAGAAT